GGTTGATATTGGGTGGTGGTTCCCCAGCCCAGGTCATTTGGGAGGCTGGATGTGGCTTCCCCCTTAATCTCTCCCCTTCCCCCAGAGACAAGAAGAAACAGAAAATTTGGAAATAATGATTTCATCCACTTTTCCCTAACCCTCAATCCTTCCCACCCTGATCACCCATGTAAATGTTAGATTTGCTGACCACCCATGTAAGAGAAATATCAGCCGAACATATGAAAGAATGCAAAAGATCTTTACTTAGGGAACCATGCTCTTGGGGTTTTCTCCTGCATAGTGGAAAGACAAACGTGCAGAGGAGGGCTGCGAAGGATTAAGAAAGGTGAGAGAAAAAGCAGGCAAGGGCTTTTAAACCCCTCCTGATGCAGAAGCTGAAGCGGGGTCGCTTTGATCCTATTAGGTAGAGTGTTGGCCTGAGCTTGTCATTGGTCCACAAAGGCTTTGCTGCCCTCGTGACGTGATGGATCCCTACTGCCCCTTCAGGACCCGGCCCGAGTGACCTGTCGGGTCTGATGCAAACTCTGCCCAACTGCCGTAACCGCAGCAAACACCAGTAATCATCATCAAAAATTAATAATAATAAAAAATCTCCCAGGGCCAGAGCAATGGCTGCACTGGCTTGTCCTCCCCCTTCCAGCACAGGGATTCCATATGGGCACCAGTTCCTGTCCTGGCTACTCCTCTTCCCATCCAGCTACCTGCCTGCGGCCTGGGAGGGCAGTCAAGGATGGCCCAAAGCCTTGGGACCCTGCACCAGATGGTAGACATGGAAGAAGCTCCTGGCTCCTGGCTTCGGATCAGCTCAGCTCCAGAGCTCCAGCTCTTGCAGACACTTGGGAAGTGAACCAGTGGATGGAAGATTTTTCTGTCTCTGCTTCTTTCCCTAAAATCAGTCTTTCTCCCAGGTTTGGTTTGGGGTACAGTGAGTTAAGCTACTGGGACCCAAAACCTAAATCTGAGAGTAGGCTGGAATCCTGCTACTCCACTACAGATCTAGTTTCCTGCCGATTATACTGGGAGGCAGATGATGACGCCAAGTGATTGGGCTCTTACATACATCAGGGCTTCTGACCTCAGCTCAGCTCAGCTCAGCACAGGTTGTGGGTATCTGGGGAACAAACCAGTGGATGAAAGACCTTTCTCTCTGTTGCCCTGTCAAAAAGTAAACATTGAAAAATCAACAAAACCCTGGGGATCAGTATGGTGATTTAACAGGCTAATCCTCCACCTGAAGGTGCCAGTATCCAATATGGGCATTGGTTCTAGTTCCAGCTACTCCAGTTCCCATCCAGCTCCTTGCTTATGGCCTTGCAAAGCAGCTCAAGCTTTTAGACCCTGCACCCACACAGGAGACCCAGAAGAAGCTCCTGCCTTCAGATTGGCTCAGCTCTGGCCATTGTGGCCATTTGGAGAATGAACTAGCAGATCTCATTCTGGATCCGGCGCAGTGGCCTAGCAGCTAAAGTCTTTGCCTTGAACTCGCCAGAATCCTACATGGGTGCCGGTTCTAATCCCGGCAGCTCCACTTCCCATCCAGCTCCTTGCTTGTGGCCTGGGACAGCAGTCGAGGACAGCGCAAAGCTTTGGGACCCTGTGCCCGTGTGGGAGACCCAGAAGCAGTTCCTGGTCCCCGGCTTCGGATCGGTGCAGCACTGGCCGTTGCAATAGTCACTTGGTGAGTGAATCATGAGACAGAAGATCTTCCTCTCTGTCTCTCCTCCTCTCTGTATATCTGACTTTGCAATAAAAATAAACAAATCTTGAAAAAAATCTCATTCTGTCCCTTCTTACTGTAAACCTACTTTCCAAATAAAAGTAGTTCTTAAAAAAGCTGTAACAGGGCCCGGCGCGATGGCGCAGTGGTTAAGGTCCTCGCCTCGCACGCCCAGGATCCCATATGGGCGCCGGTTCTAATTCCTGCAGCTCGCTTCCCATCCAGCTCCCTGCTTGTGGCCTGGGAAGGTAGTCGAGGATGGCCCAAAGCTTTGGGACCCTGCACCTGCGTGGAGACCCGGAAGAGGCTCCTGGCTTCAGATAGGCACAGCTCTGGCCGTTGCGGCCACCTGGAGAGTGAATCATCGGACGGAGGATCTTCCTCTCTGTCTCTCCTCTCTGTATATCCGCCTTTCCAATAAAAATAAAATAAATCTTAGAAAAAAAAAGCCCTAACAGTAGTATGAAAAACAACTTAAGTTCCTATGTGAATTTTAAGTCTGGGAATATTTCTAGAGGAGTAATGAATATGCATAAACCCATTTGATTCACAAGGTTGGACATACTATAATTCCACTTCATGTTATATAAATAGTATTACTTAAACAGATGGGAGACAAATGAGAAATTGGGAGGACTAATCAGGTTAAGTGACTTTACCAAAGCTACTCAAAGAGCAGCTGTGTCCCGACTTCATTCCATGGTACGAGCCATTTTCCCAAGGAAGACCAGTTACTTGTGCCAAGAGGTATTTCTCAGCAAACGCTGATGGTCGTGGAAGAAACTCAACCTCTTCCCCATAATCCCTTCCTCCTGGCTTTAGAAACAAAAGGGCTGCTCCACTTCTTATCTAGCTTCCCGCTCCTGTGTCTGGGGGAGCAGGGGAGGGCGGTCCAGGTGCCTGACCCCTGCCACCCACCTGGGACACCCATCAGGAGCCCGTGTCACCACAGGGAGGAGCGAACCAGCGGCTGCAAGGTCTCCCACCAACCCTTCAAACAAAAACCGACTACTATGCTTTCCTCCAACACACACACCAAGCGAGACCTCTCATTTCCCACTTCACTCACAATCCGACAGGATTCCACCAGCTTTCTTTGGGGCGGATGCTACCATGCTAGTCTCACACTAGCATGATCAGAGACCAAGACAGAGACCGAACTCCGAAGAAGGCTTCACGGCTCAGGGAGGAGATGGGGGCATTGGTTTTATTTATTTTGCACAGAGTCCGGGAGGAGCTGCGGGAGGTGGAGGACACATGGTCTCGGGGAGCCCTCAGAGCACAGGCCGCGGCTGCTGGGTCATGAGCACCTTGAAGCGCTTCTTGATGGTGATGCGGTGGCGCGAGTACTTGTCGTCGGGGGAGAAGCGAGCAGGATGGGCTGAGCAGGTCTGCTGTCCCAGAGGGTCAAACTTCTGCTCGAGGAAGAGAGAAACCGAACTCAGCACCCCCGCGACGGGACCGGGATCCTCTTCCGGGGGACCCGCCCCAATCGCTCCACCTCCCCCACACACACACTCCCCAGCCTCGCCTCTTCTCACCTTGAGCGTATACACGCGCTCTCCATCCTCGTTGAGATAATACTGCAGAAACATGACCACCGGGTTCTGGATGCTTCGAAGCTCTCCCCAGCTCCTCCGCCGGCCGCGTCGCGTGCGCTCCTCCGCTTCCTTCCGGCGGGAGCCTGACGTCTGTGTGAGGCATGCTGGGAAATGTAGTCCTCGTTTCCTCCTCCCGCGGCCAGAAGGGAGCGCGCTGGGGCAGGGGCTGGGCCTGGGACGCCACTTGTAACACAGTTGCACAGCTCTGGCCTGGGGGCCGTTGGAGGACACGTGAAGGTGCCCACCGTGTGCCAGGCAGTGCTAAACGCTGCAGGGGAGTAGGGATGAACCACTGTAGGCTGCACCCTGATGTACCCACTCCTGTCTTGATATTAGGACCCACAACTACCTCCAGAGCCCCTCAAGTGGTTCTCCAGGGCCCACAGAAACGAGGGCCGGCAGATGGGGCGTCCCTTTACCTCAGAGAAGAAACAAGGTTTTCTAACCACCCCACTTTTTATATCTGGTTCCTCCGCCCCATTTCAAATTCTTGGCGGTAAAAAGTGCATGACGGGTATTCCATATTCCGTAGAACAAACAACCTAAAGTTGTCTTATGAGACGGGCGCAGTATGTCCTAGCGGACGGAAATTCAGCGCAATTTCAGCGCTCGTTCTTAAGAGCGGTAAGTAGCTTGTACTAGCGTAAGATGTGTGTGGTCCAGCAATTTTTAAAATTTGTAAAAGAACGTAGACATTCTCCTAGCACTCTAAAGACGTGACCCTCGCGGCGTTATTGGTAATGTCCAAAGCATTCGAACGTATGTTAATTTTGTAAGGAGAAAGACCTAGAAACTGTTTATTTAAGAACGTAGTTTGTGCTTGCTTGTAGTTGATCCAGATACCTCTGCAATAATTAGAAGAAACGCCGTGAGTCTCCTGCAGCATAGGGAATGAGGCTGCTAGGAAAGGGGTGGAAACGTGTTGCCGTACAGTCTGTTTTGCACAACTTGGCTTTTGGAAAACGTTAATGTATACCCTACTTGAAACTTTTAAAACAAAATAGTTTAACAAAAAGGAACTTTCTGGAAGTTTTTTCTTTTTTAAGAAAAAATAATGAGGCCTTCAGCAGAATAATCTGAGGGGCGCTGGGGACCCACTTTCCAAGGAAATGCTGTGTGTACTGAGCACCTCGGGTATCTGAGACATTTCTTCAGCGCAATAATTTTATTTCTTTGGCCCTTAAGTTATCTAGGTAGATTACACTGTGCTCTGGATTTAGTTTAGAAAATAGAGTCATCACCGATTCAAGTCAAGGGTCTATCACCAGCTACTCATGGCAAGTCAGTTAACAAAACTGGTGGAGAACAAAGGGCGCAAAACTAGGTATGCTGGTGGAAAATTGAAGCAGAGGGTACTGAAAGGGAAAACCGCGGGGTCAGTGTTTGGAATCTGAGGAAGAGTTCACAGGCGCTGTAAAGGAGTACACATCCGCAGTGCTGCCATGCTCTGGGTCCCTGGAGTCCCTGGATTGCCTGCTGACTAGAACACCTCCCCTCCCCCGCCCCTGCTCCCCAGCTCTTCTCCCCTCCCCCCTGCAGAATGCCTGGAGCCCTGCATTCTGGTTCTGTTTTGATACAATCCTCACACTCCCCTCCTTGGATGCCTGTGGGTTACTCTCTGGGTCCCCCCGGAGAGCAGGGACTGCTAGACAGCCACCCCTAGTGCTCAGTCTGAGAGAATGGCCTCAGATGAAAGTAAGTCTGCAGGTGGCAGGGAGGGGTCCCACTGCCCTACGGCCACCCACAACTGCTCTCCTGCTTGGGCGTTCAAATTGGACACTTCCCGTTGGACACAAACTTTTTGGGCTGACTTAAAAGATGTGAGACCCTACCAAAGGCACCCGCCCCTTGAGGAGGGGTAGGGAGCTGGGTTAAGGAAGAGGGTGGATCCTGGCATCTTAGAGGAAACCACCTGAGTCTAGAGAATGGATGGCAGTTGCAACTTGGTTTTCTGGAGAGATGACTTTGCCACAGGGGCAGAGGCATAAGTGTAGGAGTGGTACAGAAAGGGTTCCTGGGGAAGGCCCCAATGTCTGTGTTGTCTTTAGGGAACTGGGGTTTTGTTCCTGGAGAACTGTGTTGGGTGGCACCTCTTTGGTCATGCCAGGGGGAAGGGAGAGTGGTAGTGGCAGGTGGAGGGCAGAGCAGGGGGATGCCTTGAAAGCCCATGAGTGGAATTAGCTGATGTAGAGAGATGTCCTGCTGAAAATAGGACTGGCAGAGGCTTTGCACAGAGCCTCTCCGTTCCTTCCTGCCTCTGAGATGGCTCCTCTTTCTGTGTAGGAACGGTTTTTCTTTGAGAGGCAGAGATTTTTATTCACCAGCCGAGTCCCCAAATGCCCATAGCAGCTGCGTACTGCAAGCAAAGCTGAGAGCTAGGACTCTTCTAGATCCTCCTCTAACCTGAGCCATCACTGCTGCAGAGCTGGGACTGCTGGAGCAGGAAGCTGGAATCACTCCGTGGGGGATGCAGATGTCTTAACCCTTAGGCCAAACACCTGTCTCTGCCCCCGGCTTTTCATGACTCATCTGGGAGGGGAGGAGGTGGCTCATCCCTGGGATGAGAGCTGTGGCTTCCCTAAAATAGTTTCCCTGCCTCTTGTTGTGCACAGCTTCTGACTGTGGTGTCTTCCATGACTCTCTCAGCAGGTCAGGCAGCAAAGCTGGACATTCTTAGTTGGAGGAGTAATCTTTGTGAGACGGGGGAGGGGTGCACCCTGAAATTCACTTCTACAGCTGTTGTTAAAAGTCCTGGGAGGCCCAGGCTCTGATGAACAAAGTATATGGTTGTGTGGGTAGCCCCTGTCTTCGGGAAACTACAAGGCTGCTCTGCAGGAGGGGCTGTTCCCCACTCAGGTCCCTTCCTCACTCTGACCCAGCGTCTTGTGTCTCTCAGATGTTAGGAACACCCAGCAAAAGGACCTCATACAGACCTGGACATGTGCAGGGTGGTTTAAAGCTCTGGAGATGTCCCTTCTCTGGTCATTTCTGGGTCTCTATCTGGTTATCTGGGAATCAAACCTCTAATCCACATACCCGTTCCTGGGAACCGCTCTTCCGTGAGCGGTGGTAGGGACCACAGAAGATCCCAGGGCAGAGTGTGTGGGTTCTGAGTTGTGTTTGGAATGGGTGGGAGTAGGAGGGTGCATGTGGGCGGAGTGTCAGGGGACAGGGCTTCATCCACTGCAGCTTTCCTGGTTGTTTTAGGCGAAGTAACAAAGGAAGGAGGTCTCTAAGATGCCAGCAGGAAAAAGAGCCGGACGTGGGTGCCTAATCTTGAAACCACCTGCTTCTGATGGGCTGGGTGGGTCCCTGGAGAGGGGCCACATGCCTGCCTGGGCTGGCTGCCTTACTGCTCCCAGGCAGCTGTGGGCTGTTGTCTTTGCGGGACAGCCTGTGGGGTTGGCAGGGTCAGACCCACACGGGTGCAGGGTCTGGCTGACAAGGGGGCAGCTCCACTAGCACAGGCCCTCTCTGCTGCTAGTGCAGGTGCCCTGTCTTCCCATCCCTTTCCTTCTGCTGCATTCCCTCCTTCTGTTTGTCTCAACAGCATCTCCATTACCGGGACCGGATATGGCCATGACACCTGGTGCTGCCCTGTCTCCTTTCACTGCACTTCCCTTTCCCTCACCCACTCCTGGCCCCCCGGACCCACCACCCTGGGACCCACCTCCACAGCCCCCTGTGCCTTCAGCATTCTCTCCAGGAAATCCACACCTGCTCTCTGCTTTCCCAGGCCCCGTGTTGATGATGGGGGAGGGGGGACCTGGCCCCCCTGGAGCGGGGGCTGGTAAGGTCACACTCACAGTCAAGACAGAAGGAGGAGCAGCTGAGTCTTCTCAAGCTCACAGCTTGGTCCTCACTCCCACCGCCTTCAACTGGATTGCTGCAGGCACCCCCTGCTGGGGCCCCGTAGCTCCTCACTTGGTCAAAGCCTCTGCTGTGCAGACCATTCTGCCCGCCAAGGCTGCTGCTCTGAGCCAGGAGGGATCCCCAGCCCTTCCTCCTCAGGCTCCCCCAGCAGCTGCCCATCTGGCACCCATGGTACCCCTGGAAAAGGCTTGGCTGGGGTCCCAAGGGGCAGCTGGGGAAGGAGAGCCTGCTCTGGCCAGATCGAAGCCCCCGCTGGGTGCCCTCTCCTATACTTCCAAGGGCGTTTATGAAAACTTCCGTCGCTGGCAGCGCTATAAAGCCTTGGCAGGGAGGCACTTATCCCAAAGTCCTGACACTGAAGCTCTTTCCTGCTTTCTGATGTAAGTGGGTGTGATCGCTGATGAAGGGTCCTAGGGCTGGTAAATATCAGGGACTTCAAGGCTGGAGTCAAAGCTGTTTAGAAGGATTTGAGGCAGGTCTCAAGGGCAATAGAGGTGCTGAAAACAGCAACAATAGAAAATGATAAGGATCAGCCTCTTTGACCACTTCCTGGTGAATTTCAGCTGTCTCCTCTCAGTGACCCCAGAACCCCAGCAGCCCAGGCCAACCTCCTCAGGCTAAAGCTCTAGGAGGCCTTCCATCCTCAAGCAAACAGCACTAATTGGAACTTGGGTCCTGGCTTCAAGCGCCAGGGTCGTCCTCTGCTGTTAGAGCCAGCTTCTGGCCCATCCTGGTCAAGCCCAGGACTCTGTGTGCTGTGCCCCTTCTTTTCTCATCCCCGTTTTGTTCCGGAATAGAACAGGGAAGAAGGTCAAGCTGACTGTTCAAAAACCCAGGCTCTGTCCGGCAGATGTGCGATCCCAGGCAAGACATTGGACATTCTCAGTTTCCATTTTCTTAAAAGAGGGATCAATTGATTATACAACCCTTAAAGGGTCGCCGGGAGACTGATGACCTGATTCCCGGAGGGTACTTCCAGAAGCTTGTTGAAAAAAATGGAATGCAGCAGGATTTTTTTTTTTAAATCTACTGATTTTTTTCTTAATACACATTCTCCTTGAGTTTTTTGAAAATCACTCCCATGCACAGTGCCTGGCTGAGGGACTGCTTTGTTAAATGGTCACTTGTATGATTAATTAAAGGCAATCTGCAAGAGAAATAGGATTCATCCAAGGCCCAGAGTCCTTGCTGAAGAGTGAATGTCCACTTAGCTAAAGAGCATGAGGTCATTGACTGCTCATTATATTTATCAAGCAGTAATTAATCTTCTGGGAATTTTCCTGCTTTCCCACCCAGACCATCTTGCTCCCCTGCAACAGGCACTGGAGCCTCAATGGTTTATGTAAGCCTTTGGATAACACATTAACACATTTTATTGAATTAAAAAAACAACTAAATGCTGCTCTCCCCCAGGGATGGCACTCAACAGTTCCCTGCCCCCTACCTCTCACTGCCACGGCCGCCCTGTCCCTGGAGCACAGGGACAGACAGGCCTCCTTGAGTTCCTAGAGAGGGGGCATCTTACTGCAGCTCCGCCCTCTCTCTGGGCTGGGCTGTTAAGGTTGGGTTGGTGTCCCTTAACTGTTGGTCCTCGCACATTCCTGCTCTCAACCCTCGGGGTTCAAAGTAGGGGCTCCTACAGAGAATAGTTCAGCTTCTGTGCACGGTGCTGGGGTCTCAGGGTGCTGGGGTCTCAGGGTGCTGGGGTCTCAGGGTGCTGCAGGTCATGTTAATAACAAGCTTCCGCAGGTGATTTTCATGCGCAATGTTACACATCAAAGGGAAGTTCGGGGGTGGGGCAGAGGGTCTGACTTTAGACTCCTGAGTTTCTCTGCATGAAAAGGACTCGGGAGTCTTCCAGAAGTCGGTATGTAGCATTGGTGTTTGGTGTTCTAGAGACAAAGATGCTGAAAAACTGACAAACGCCACAAAGCCTTTAGAGACCCTTGTGATTTAGGGAATGCTTTATTATTATTTTAATGCAAGACTCCAAGCATGCTTAAGCCTATTTTATGGCTTAAAGGACAAGTCTTTTCTTCTTAATGTTTAGCTGAGGAACAGCACTGTGGGAGTTAGGGGATGGTTAGTGTGGTTGATTTTAAAAGGTGGGAAGAGGAATCTGATTTTGCACAAGGAACAGAGGAAGGTGAATGAATGGGGGAAAGGCTGAAGTCTCCCCCTTAGAGGGACAGGACAGCCTTGGAAACAGGCTGGGCGTGATGTGGGGTAGGGGTGCGCGTGTGGTAGGTTGCGGGGCAGGTGGATGCAAGGGTGGGAGGCTTACTTTTAGCATGGGACTGAGACTGACCTAATGGGGGGTTTTAGCCCAGTGCTTCGTTCCCTGGCCCGGCTGAAGCCCACTATGACCTTGGAGGAGGGACTGCCCAGGGCTGTACAGGAGTGGGAGCGCACCAGCAACTTTGACCGGATGATCTTTTATGAGATGGCAGAAAAGTGAGTCCAATGAACCCTTTCACCTAAGGGGGGCAGTGTGGCCAAGCTGCAGGGGCAGTCAGGTGATTAAAGGGATGTGAGGACAGGGTACGCAGACTAGGCTAGGGTCTGCTGGATCGCCCTGCTCTCATCACCTGTCATTGTTTTTCTATCTTCTCTACTCTTGCAAGCTCCCCTTTCTCCAGACCCTGCAGGCTTTAGGGTAGGATGGGAGGTCAACCCTACCAGGGAGGGTGTTTTCTTTTCTCAATGGTCAGGTGGCAAGTGGCTGTGAATCCAGAACTCAGGACCATCTCCCCTTTGGCATAGAAGCTCCTTTCCCACTCACTCATCCTAGGAAGGGACTGGTCAGGGAAGGCCAGGGTGGTCACCTTGGTGCTTAGCCCCTATTTCTCCAGGATGATCCTCAGTTCTTTGGCTGTAAGAATAGCAAAACGAACCCTTTCCTCCAAGCCCACCTTCCACGTTCTTCCCCAAGTCTTCTGGGTCAGCTCAGGCTTCCTAGGTTAACCCTGCCAGTTCTCAGCCTCCAGACTTCCAGGTCTCAGCACTGCCTCCCGGAGGACATTGCTTGGAATTGCAACCCAGGTCCTGGCTCAAACATTGAGCCATTCTTTATGGTGGTAGGCAGGTACAGATGAGGCCTGGAGGAGAGGGGCCTGCTTAGGGGATATCCCTGCTGGTTGTTGTGTGTCTGAGTTCAGCATGCCTGTATTAAGTACTGCTGTGTGCAGTCTTTAGTTGGATGGGACAACTACGGAATAGACATGGCAGCCATGGTTGTGTCCTAGAGTTTACAAGCTTCTGGGTCATTCTAGATCATCCATCTCCTGAATGAGTTTCCTCAGCGATGACTGCAAGTATGAAGGGGTGACTTCATGAGATTTCCCTGGAACTATTATTGGGCCACTTGTGAGCAACTACCCCCTGGGTGGCAGAGCTAGGCGGGACTTTGTCTCAACCGGGGCACTTCCTCACCATGTGTGACTGTTGCCCTGTGTCTGGGTTCCTGACGGGACTGATCTCAGCATGGCTTGTTGCTTCCTCACCTTCTGCAGATTCATGGAGTTTGAGGCTGAAGAGCAGATGCAGAACACACAGCTGCTGAATGAGGCCCAGAGCCTGCCTCCTGCAGCCCCTCTGACATGTGATCTCCCAGGGCCCCCGGCCCCTGAGGTTTGCCAGCAGCCAGGTAAGGCTACCCAAGCCCAGCAGAAGCTGTGGACTACAGGCTGCACAGGAGCCAGTCAGATTAGGGATGGCATGGCCCTGGCTTTTGTCAGCTTCCCGGCAGGGGCTGGCATTTGGTGCTCCAAACAAAACACCCCCTAGCAAGCTGGGTTCCATGGTTCCCTGTCCTGAATTAGGTATTGATCATGGCCACGTTAACTATTCTCATCTAGATGTAAGTGCTTAGAAATGGGGGCTGGCTAAGGGAGTTCCGAGATTCCTCCTATAGTGCTGCGTGGACTCTCTGGCTTTTCAGTCTTCTCCCTCGGCTGGCTGCACTCAGTTATCCTGTACCCAGACTGCTGTCCTTAGAGCTGGGAAGCAGAGGCCAAGGCTCGCGTGTCACTTCCTGTTCTGCTTGCCATTTCTTCCCTCAGTATACGTTCCCAAGAAGACCACCTCTAAGGCTCGGGCACCCCGGCGGCGGCAGCGTAAACCCCAGAAGCCTTCGGCTCCTGAGGCACCCAAGGAGATCCCCCCAGAAGCTGTGAAAGAATATATTGACATCATGGAAGGGCTACTGGGGAGTCACCCGACATATGATCCTGGGGAGTCCAGTGGAACCTGGGAACAGGAAGAGGAGCGGCAGGAAGGGCCAGGGGAGGATCCAGATTCTGACTTCTTGAGCTATATCGATGACCTGTGTTCTCAGGAGGTGTTTGTCTCCCAGGTACGCTGGGTTTGAACAGCTCATTTCCAACAGATCCGGGGGGGTAGACACCGTGGGGAACCAAGGATCTGAGATTCTGTGAGAGGTGGTAAGAATTTGGCTTCATCCTGAAACTAAGTGAATGTGTGTAGCTGCTGGCTGGATTATAACCATCCTGGTGGTGGAAGAGGGGTATAAACATGCAGGTTAAATCCTGTCAGACACATCACCTTTCTCTCTTTGCCCCAGGTGGAAGCCGTCATTAACCCTCAATTCCTGGAGGATCTGTTATCCCCGGAACAACAGAGGGATCCCCTGGCCTTGCTGGAGGAGCTGGAAGAGGAGGAACAGCTCACTCTCTCACAGGTAAAGCCTGGGAGACAGGCAGCATTAGAGCGAGGAGAGAGCATGATCTCGTCTAATGCCACATGGTCCCGGGTGCTGTGGCTAGATACAAACAGCTTGGGCTCCGGGTGCAGACCAACAAGGCAGGGGGCTATAACAAACAGGAGAGGAGAGTGGCAGGGCTCAAAGCATGAGGATAAGGCACAAAAAGGTCAGGTATCATCACTCAAACCACTTCCTCTCCTGCCTTGCCCTAAAAAAGCAGCTCCCACCACGCACATGGCTACCCATCTTGCAGCCACGGGCAGAGCTGATTTGTCTCTTCTCTTCCAGCTGGTTCAGAAGCGAATCCTGGCCTTGGAAGAGGAGGATGGGGAGGCGTTTCCAAGTAGCAGTGGTGCTCAATCAGACTCCAGTGCTTCTGTTTCTGATGAGGAGGAAGATGTGGGTGGGCGGCAGCGGCCCTCACCTGGGCCTCGGGGGGTTGGGGGTGCTGTCCGTCTTGGGAAGGCTGCTGCTGCTGCTGCAGGAAAGCGGGCGAGAGAGGTGCATGGTGGGCAGAAGCAAGCCCTTGAGGAACCAAGGGGGGTGCGCAGGGATGGGACCACTCCGCTGTCCTCCAGCAGCTGGGACCTGCAGTTGCAACTTGCAGCTCCGAGGGGAGTTCAGGCACCCCTGGGCACAGAGAGAGAAGGGTCTGGAGGGGTTGGGAATCAGCTCTCTGCACATCCGGGTGACCACGTGGGAAGTGCTGGGAGGCCTGGGTATGGCTTGATGGCCAATAAGACCTCAGAGGCTCTGCCTGGTTGTTGGCAGGAAGGACCCCAGCCTGAGAGAGCTCTTGGTTTTGATGTTGGATCCACAGAGCTGGCTCCTCTGCCTGAGCCCGGATCAGAAAAGCAGGTGGGGGAGCTGCAGGAAGGACAGATGGGGGCCCTTGGAGTGCTTGCTCAAGGGAAGAAGCTTCCAGAAGTGTCCCAGGGGAGCTCTTCCACAGTCAGGTGGGGAGCTGACCCAAGTCCTCTTGTGGTTCCAGGGCACAATCAAAACCATTCCCCAACAGTGGTGAGGGCTGGTGACAGGGCCCCCTTTAGCCTAGACCTGTGGCTGAATAGTGACATGGACAACATAAGCCTGGAGTTGCCCTTACAAATTGAAGAGGTCATACAGAGCTTGCAGGATGGGGCATGTATACCTGAGCTCCTGGGAAGCAGCCAGGCCCTAGGCTCCGAGAGCACAGCACCAGGGGATATGGGCAACGCTGCTGATCCCTGTGGAGGCACAGATGCCACCCCTGCCTTAGAGAAGGAAAATGACTGCAACACCCCAGGACCCCTGCGGCAGGCCAAGAGCCCAGCTGTGAGGTCCGAAGAGGACAAAGCACAAAGCCCTGAGGCCCTTAAGGATCCCAGTGGCTGCTGGCCTGAAGGTTGCTCCCCACTGCTGGCCAGCACAGCTCTTGTCTCCAGCCTGGGGTCTTCGGTGCCTGCAGGCCCAGACGGCTTCCCTTTGGAGACCCCGGAGGCCTCCCTCCCCAGGGCCTGCCAAGTGACAGGGGACCTGCTAGACACCACAGACCAGGTCGACAAACTAGATATTAGAAGTGACTGTGGCCTCCAGCAGGGGCTCAGTAAAGCTACCTGCCCCCCATGTGTCATCCTTAAAGAAGCCCAAGGAGAGGGCAGGGAAGATCTTGCTCCTTTGCAAGAGAATCCAGAGCTTCACGCAGCTGAGGCTTCCAACGTCACATCTCCCCAGGGCCTCGCAGGCACTGCCCCCAAGTGGGGACACCCAGCTGCCCCTCCTGTTAGTCAAAAACACAGCTCACACGGGGCCAGAGGAAAGAAGAAAGAGAAGAGGAGGCAGCAGAGGAAGGAACTGGATGAGGAAGATGAAGAACTTACTCACTTTGCCAACCTTCTGGCCTGTAAACTTAGCTTAGAGCCCAGGGTCCCTGAGCTCAGCCCTCAGCCCACCTCAGGAGGTCAGGGCGTCCAGAAAGCACGTGCACCTCCCTCGGCAGAGGCTAAAGGCCTTGGGAAGCCCGTCTATTCAGCTGCCAAGTCTGGCAAGCGAGTTCTGGTTGGAGGTTCAGCCCCTACTGAAAAGAGAGCCTGCTCAGACACACATCTTGGGGCCTCTGGGGAGGAACCCTCAGCCTTGGGAGTAGTTCCAGCGTCACAGCCGCGTAAGAGGCGGCGTGACGGTTTTGTCACGGGCAGGAGGAAGAAGCGCCGCCGCAGCCAGTAGGGAGTAGCAGCAGGACCATCCCGCCCTGCCTGCCAGCGCTCACAGCTGGAGCCTGCAGGTAGAGGGGCAACCAGCCTCTGCCCAGTGTGATTTTGTTGTTCCAGTGGAAGTGGCGAGCAGGTGGTTCCTTTGTTCAGAAGTGACTGGGATGGTACTTATGGAAACAGTTGTGTGGCAACAAGAAAAATAAATATCTTTTTTGCTGTTGTAAGATAGCCTCAATGTGCTTTTCTTTGCGAAGAGCGTCTTCGCCGTGTGAAGCATGGAAGTAGCGGTGGACACCCTGCCTTGCCTCCAGCCTTACCTGGCGACTCACTGGCTCTTGGGTCCCCAAACAGGGGTCTGGCATCTCCCGAGACCACTGAACTCGCTGCCTCTTCCCAAGCCTGGATCTGGCCTCAGAAGGCTGATCTGCCTTACTCTGCCTTTAAGTCTGTCGATGGAAAATATGCTTTTTTCTTTTTCATGCTGTCTCACTAGGATAAGAAATCTAATTCTCTAAATCTAACTAACTTCTTGTAATTGTGTCCAGATATAGCCCCTCTCCGGGGCTTTGTTTTCTCCTGGCAGGCAGGGAGGCCATCCTATGTAGTTGGTCCCACCAGCCAGGAGGCTGTATTTGCATCAAGCCTCAATGGGATTCTTTCAGGCAGGACGGTATTAAAGCTGTTTTTTAATCTCTTGTGAGACAAAGCAAGAGGGAATAGTATGGAAGGGTTGAAAGAGGTTCATGAGGCAGGAGATGCCAACATGAGAGGGAGACATGAAGTCTCTTGCAGGGGATGACTTCTGTATAGGAGGGAGTCCTGACCAATCAGGGAATGAGAAAAATTTGTTTTAAAAATTTGTGCTAAGGAGGGGCCTGGAGCAATACCCTAGTGGCTAAATCTTCGCCTTGCAAGCACCAGGGTCTCCCTTACGGTGCCGGTTCAAGTCCCAGCTGCTCTACTTCTCTTCCAGCTCCCTGCTTGTGGCCTGGGAAAGCCATGGAGGATGGATGGCCCAGAGCCATCCTGCACCTGCGCGGGAGACCCAGAAGCTCCTGGTTCCTGATCGGCTGTTTTGGCTGTTGAGGTCACTTGGGAGTGAACTAGCAGAAGATTTTTCTCTCCTTCTATCTGTAAATCTGCCTTTACAACCGTGGCTAACGGGTCTGACCTTTGGAAACTTGTGCATCTTCCAAGGGTATCCTGCAACTATTTATCCCAACTATGATACCATCAATGTGACTGAGCTTCGTTTTTTTTTTAATAGATATAGATATAGATTTATATTTATATATAAAATAGTTTCTTACAAAAAAAACCAAAACAAAAATCAAAATCAACTTAAACAAACAAACATCAACAATGAAACTCAAAAAGGAGCAGAGATGGGGTTGAGGCATGGGGTAGGCTCCTGGCGCTGCCCTGAGTCTGTGGGGCCGGATTCAAGCCGCGGGGGTGGGGCTGGGGCTGAGGTGCTCAGTCGCCCTTCTGCTTGGGCGCCTGTACAGTGCCGTTGGCCAGAGCACTGGGGCTGCCAGGGGACGAGGCATTTTGCATCTGGGAGGGGCCTCGAGGGGTGTGTGGGGGCCGCAGGTAAGTGCTGAAGAGCTTTCCATAGAGTGGGTCGTGGAGGGAGAAGTTCTGGAACTGACCTGGACAAATAAGCAAAAAGACCTAAGAATGAGGGCCTGAGGAGGGCACACCTGTGATTTTCTTAGAATGAACACATCCCCCCATCCTCAGATCTAACTTGTCAGTCCAAGGTTTGGGTCGTTTCTTCCTCTCCTGCTGGTTCCTCCTAGCCATAGCCTCTACAAGGTTCTCAGGCCTGGGACACTACCCCTCCTTCCCGCCTGGCCCAGGGCTTTCTTCTTCAAGCCTCAGTACCAGTAATGCACCTGAGTGCCTGTGCAGGGCCCGGGGCACCATGACTCACAGAGGGATAAGCCTTGGCTGGGTCCTGCCCGGCATAGCTCAGCATGCAAAGTCGTGGCAGCAGGGCGGGGTGAACCCAGTAGCAGGTGCAGGATGGTGCTGAAGCCATCTTGGTACAGCAGGCGGCCGGGCCCCTCTGCCTGCTCTTCAGCAAACAGCTTGGAAAAGAAAGGAAGGCAAGTCAAATTCTGTCCTGATGCTGTCGCTTCCAGCTGCCCAGCAGGTCTGCTCCTTCCCTTCCAGAAGTGCCATGCCAAGGTCCTGCCTGATGGCAAACTTCCTTGCTCCTGCCCTCTTCCTGTCGGGCTCTCAGCATGGAGACACTGGGGCTCTGCAGTTGCAGTGCTGTGGTATTGGGCAGGATGCCAAACACCTCCTCTCCATAAGCTACCGGACATAACCCACCAGCCAGTCTCATGGGGTGGGATGAACAATCACCAGGTACCTCCCCCCATCCAGTACCTCAAATGCCAGGCGAGTCAGCTCCTCCAGGCTCCTGCCCCCATCCAGAGCTGCCAGTGCCAGTGCCACATCTCGGAAGTCCACCAAACCCTGGGCATCCTGTGAGTAGGAGGGAAATGAGGGCAATGTAGGGGGCAGGGCATCTCCCTGCCTCTTCTTGGCAGGGACTGGTGCAGTGCCCCTGCCTGCTCTTCCTAGCTTCGCAAACCGACAGTGCTTCAGAAACCGTGACGCTTGTCTGAGGTCACAGGCCTGCTCAGACTATGCCATCACCATTACCGCTGCCCGTGAGGGGATCTCCAGGAATGTTCAGGGAATCCCTCAGACAGGCCTCAAAGTTACCACCAACTTCCTGACACAGCCCAGAAGGGGCATTCCTGTCCCCAAGCTGGATGAACTGGTTCTCTCTGACTCAGCCCATGTGGGAGAACTGGTCCAACACCCTTGGAAGGAGGCCACTGGCCCCACTGCTGACAAGAACCCAGGAGGGATGGCTGCTGCACCAGCTCTCACGTGGCGTTTGCGTTTGAAGTTCCGCTCTGCTGCAAGTGAGGGGCGAAAGCAGGAGAATCAGCCCCCCATCTAAATAAGCGTGGCACTGCTTATTTCCTCAGAGCATGTTGGGGAGCACGGTTTGCTTCTTAAAGCAGAAAGATGAAGACCATGGCTGGCCTTATGGATGCTAACAATCTTCTCTATCTTTGCAATCTGAAAGGAGAACCTGTTTAATTCCTGGGAAACAGATCGCCAAGATGCTTTAGAAAATCAAGCATCACCTAGAGAACTTACAGGTTTTTAAAAAGGCCCTTACCCAAAGCCCCATAGGGTTTCCCAACTTTGCCTCTTGAAAATGGATTCAGAGACTTATGGACACTGAGGCTTGGTGATGTCTCCTTCATTTTTTTTCTCATAATAGTCTTAAAAAAAAAAAGACTCAGAGTCCAGGCTAATCCTTCACTTCAGAGTGCTGGCATCCCATATGGGTACCAGCCAGTTCCCATCCAGCTCCCTGCTTATGGCCTGGAAAGCAGTCGAGGATGGCCCAAAGCCTTGGGACCCTGCACCCGCATGGGAGACCAGAGATCAGATCTGTTCAGCTCTGGCTGTTGCAGGCACTTGGGGAATGAACCAGCAGATGCCGAATCTTTGTCTTTCTTCTTCTCCTCTCTCTAAAATCTGCCTTTCCAGTTAAAAAAAATATATATATATATTATATATATTATATATATATATATATATTTTGCTTCACAAGTGGCTGCAATGGCCAGAGCTGAGCAGATCTGAAACCAGGAGCCTCTTCTGGGTCTCCCATGCAGGTGCAGGGTTCCAAGGCTCTGGGCCATCCTCAATTGCTTTCCCAGGCCACAAGCAAGGAGATAGAAGGGAAGTGGAACAGCTGGGATACAAATTGGCAACCATATGGGATCCCAGGTGCATGCAAGGCAAGGACTTTAGCCACTAGGCTACTGTGCCAGACCCAAGAACATATCTTAAAAAAACAGTGACTCTCCCAGTGTTTCTCAGTAGATGCCCATCTAGCCACAGCTGCTACGATACTCAGCGTAGAAGCCAGGGGATGGCCATGTGACCATGACGCCACGAGGGTATTATGGTCCTTCCATCCCACGTGTATCAGTGGAAGAGCAAGCCTTCAGCTCTGCCCTCTGCCTTCTAGCTCAGTTACCTGCTGGAAATAGCGGAAGGCACCAGCCACCGTCTGGGGGTCAGAGAGCTGCAGCTGCCTGGCAAACTCCTCCTGGTTGATCATTCGGCTCCGGCCTGGCTCTGCCCCCGCGTCCACACAGCCGGGGGACAGCCTGCAACGGGATTGTTGGAGGCAAAGGGCCACTCGGTTTCCTTCTGGCCACACCGTGCAGCAGCAGGACCCTGGGCTGCCCCAAAAGTGCTTCCCGCGCATGCTCTGATCTTGCTTTGCTGAGATGGTTCAACTCACAGTCCTTTGAAAGTCCTTTACGCCTTCCTCACCTGCATTATTACACATGCTACACTCTTACATTATTGCACATCCCACTGTTTCTCCACCCACGCCCCGTTTTTAACTCCATTATCTTTTAAAAATCCTTCTATCTTTCTACTTTATAAAATGCTTTTCTCCCTCCCACTTCTCTGCTTTTTTCTGGGGTGCTTGTCCCCTCCTATTCAAGGCCACTTACCCAGCCTTGCGAAGCACTCTTCCCAGCTCCCAGAGCTGTGGTTCCAATGCCACCTTCAGCCGGCCCACCACAATCACAGGCAAGCTCCCTACGAACTCACACTCGGTGGCTGGAATGCCCAGGGCCCTAGGGGATGAAGCAGGCCGGGATGAAAGAGAGGGGAAACAGGAGAAGCCGCTGAGGGCTTCCGGCTGAGCCTGCTGTTGACCAGGGAGACAGGTCAGACCCCTTTAATTATCCCCTGCTGAATTTCACCATTGGTTAGTGTGTCCCTTTGCTCACTCCCCTTTCTCGGCCTCAGAACTCCGCCTGTCGGTCCCCTTCTTGTAACTGCTCCACCCTGGGTATCAGCTCCAGGAAATAGTTTGTGCAATACTCACTGTGCCATGACCCTCTGGACATTGTTAGCATAGAGGGTGGGGTCCCTGCTCTCCTCCGGGCTGGGGTGATACACAGGGAGGAACTGAAGCACAGACACACGCAGTTCTTATCAAAGTGAGGGTTGACCCCTCCCACCCTGTTTTTCCAGGCTCCTCCCGCCCGGCCCACAGTGGCTGGGGCCAATACCTCCACATCCACGATGCTGCAGGGCTGTGAGGCTGTGAGCCACAGGACTTTGAGTCTAAGGGAACAGAGATTAGGGTGCTCACCACTCTGCCTGGAGCATAGAGGGGTAGGAAAGTTCTGCCCGCCCATTACACATGCAGATGCCTAGTCACACAGCCAGCTGGGGGGAGCTGCAGCTGGCAGAGCAAGTGAAGGCTCAGAGACGAGCTGCTGGCTAGGGGAACGGCAAGCAGTGCATCTTGTGGTGGCTGACCGAGGGGAGAGAGCCCTTAGGAGACGTTGGGGAGGAAAAAAAGGAGCTGCTGTGACAGTAGCCACGATGGGGGTGGGACTGTTGAAAGCACTGTCGGGCTCCTCTGGGAGACTACAGAAGAAAGGGGTGCCTCCTTCTGCACAGTTCCCAGTGAAAGAGGAGGGGCTAGGAATTCTCACAGACCCTGCTGTCATCCCTAGTCCCAAGGACCCCAGAACTCACACGCCAGGGCCCCTCCACGCCCAGCTGGTGGTGTCCTGGGGAGAAGCACAGGTTGGGGCAGATGAGTGCACCTTTTGTGGAGTCGGCCAATCCTTACTGTGCAGAGGCCTCCAGCCCACTTCCGGTGCCACCTCCTCCCCAACCCAACAGTCACAGTTTTCACTGGTTCCCGTGTTGGCCACGCACCCCTGCCTCCCCCTGCCATTTCTTCTTGGACCGAGACTCACCAGACTGTTGGGATAGCGGATGAGGACGGGCTGCACAGGAACCCCTGCGATGAAGGCTCCTAAATCCCAGTCCCAGCCCACCCCCAAGGCAGAGGTTAGCGCATGGACACAGTCAGAGGCACCAAGTGCAGGGGGCCGGGACAGTTCTCGAGTGAGACCTGGCGCTGTGGTGTTCAGTCATTTTCTCTGAAACTCCTGGCCTTGTCAGCCTTAGCTAGCAGCTCCCGTGTCCTTCCTCTCCCAACCCTCCCTACCCTGTGGGTTTGCCAGGAATCCCCACATCTGTGCCTCCGTTTGCCCACTGCCCTACCACCCACTTCCCTTCCATTTACCTGGTTTGAACTTAAGCAAAGCCTTCTTGTTGGAACAGGTGCCCTCAGGAAAGAAGAGCACCTGGGAGGCAAAAAAAAAAAACCCCAAAGAGGCAGCAAGAGGTGAGGAGGGTGGAGGCGGAGGAGAGGATGGCGTCTGCGGGGGAGGTCGGAAGACCCTTACCCACCTGGGGCCACTTGCCTCCTGAGGTGGCACGCCTTCGGACCTCCTCCACCACTCTACGCCGGGAAGCTGGGTCATGGCGGGAGACTAGGATGGCTTGGTTGAATCGAAGGAGGGCTGGGGTTGGGAAAAGATATGGGGAGGAGTCACAGGGTTCCCATGGATTGCGGAGGGAGGGTATGGACACACATAACCTTCTGTTCCTCACAAGAGAGGGTTCCCAGCTACTGCTATGCCCTGGGGGACAACCCCTGTTGTCCTTCTAGAGAAGTGAGCAGGGCTGCCCCCAACATCTGCTCAGTGGGCCCCTGCACTGGGAGCCTGGCGTGTAAGTGGGGGAGGTTTACATTTCACTGTGCAACATTCCGTATCTCTTCGGAAAACTTGTCCCCTCTCCCTTTCACATGCATCTCAGCTGCTGCCTTTTCCCTTTTCTTTGCCTGCAACTGTCACCCTGCCTGCCCCCTCTCCCCCACCAACTCTCTTACCTCCGATGACAGGCACAGAGAGGTTCTCAGCTCTGGACACGACCTTGGGCAGGTCACAGGGCAGCAGGACAATGGGGTCAAAGAAAGTGGAATGGGGGGCAGCAACAAGGACTGGGGCTTGAAGGCGGGAGGCCCGCTGGCCCCGAACACGAATCCGGAGGAAGCCCAGTAGGAAGAAGAGGAGGCGGCTCAGGCCCAGCACCCCGTTGTGGCACACAGTCCTGCCAGAGTGAGGCGGGGTGACAGTGGAGGGGGTGTGCTGGCCCTCACCCAGCCAGCAGAATTGGGTATCCCTCTTTTGCCCACATGGATATTTTTGGTCACTGGACTGGGGGCGGTGGCCCCTCTGGGACAGGTTCAGGTCACATCGCTCAGAGGAGAGGTCCTGGATACCTGGTTGGAGCTGGCTGACTCATCTCACCTACCCAGGCTGGGCAGGCTGGCTTCCAAACCCTCCCCCATCTTCCTCTCAAAGGGGGAGCAATAAGAAAAACAAAAAAGGGGTCTCTGGAACCGGCCCCCCACCCCCACTTACTTCCTCCATCCCGTGATTGGCTCTTGAAGCTGCTCCTCCGTGAGACCAGCTACTTGCAGCCAGGCAAAGGGCCAGAGGAGAAAGAGGACGATGAAGGCCAGAAACACTCGGATGGGGGCCAGCAGTGCCCCCAGGAGGCAGAACTGCGGAGGGTGGGAGAGAATGCCACTGCAGAGCTGGGAGACGATGCTCCACCCGACCCCAGGGACCCCACTCTCGCACAAGGAAGGACCCAGGAGCAGAGAGCCATCATCCCCTGCAGGTGATGAGTGGTATGGGAACAGGAGAGGTGGCAGGGATCCAAGTGAAATGAAAACATCAATGAGGGCAAGAGGGTAACGATCCCGCCTATAAAGGCGAATGCATAAACTGTAACTAAGAACATCCATGAGAAAAGCAGTGTGAGAGCGCCTAGCCCTGGGTTTGATGTGGAATCGGCTGGAGACAGGCCCTCCTCCCCCACATCCCTTTCCATAAATAGCTCCTATCTCCAAGAGAAACCAGGTGCACGACTCTTTCCACTTTGGGCCTGCAAGGCAGAGGGCTGCGGCCTTGGTCAGTCCTAGCACTGCCCAATAGCCATTCCGAAGTACTGGGGGTTGGAGATGAGGAAAAGGGGGAGGGTGTCGGTGAAGCGCTCGAGCCACCCCACCAGGGATTGCCATAAGCCAGGGTAACTCCAGATGCTGCCTCCGCTCCCAGGGAAACAGCAGGTAAACAGACCTAGCCCCTAGAGCCCGCCTCAGGGGAGGTGATGACAGCAGGCACCTTGAACACTCCCTCCCCAACACCACCTCCACTTCCTGTAGCCAACCCCCTTTCGAGCATCCCTGCCCCCACCGGGAGGTGCTGCAGTGCAGGGGGTGGGAGCGCGGGAGGGGACAGGAAGAGGGGATGATGGAAGGGCACGGGGATGCACACCTCGGGTCCAGTACCGTCCTCTCTCCGAGCCAGAGCCCGGAGAGGCCGTGCACCCGCCCCCGCCCTACCCCGGCTTCCCCGAGCCTCCATCCTAGTCCTTCAGCTTCGCAGGATGTAGCCCGCATTCCCTAGGGGGTCCCCTATAATCCTCCATCCTTATCTACTCGAATCTTCCGCACCTACGAGCTGATCCATCGCGTCCCCCTCCAGGGGCTCCTGCTCACACCTTCAGCCACCCCCACGTGCGCACCTTTGGGCGCCCACTGCGCGAGCAGCGCAACCACCCCCTTCCCGGATCCCCAAACTCCATCCTTTGGCAAGGGCTCTAAACGGCCCCGTCTTCCTCGGCCCTCAAGTCCTCCCGACGCCCCCTGCCCACGCCTTACCTTAACCCTCTGGAGCCGGGAGAGATGTAACTCGTGCACGAAGGGGTTGGGGGGCGTTGGGGGCTCGGGGGTGGCATCGACAGGAGCCCAGTCGCCCGCACTTCCCTGACTCATGGCGGGAGGAGGTGGGCGGCAGGGGGCCCCGACCCCGGCCCCCGGCCCCGCTCTGCAGAGCAGCGGCTGCTCCTGCGGCAGCGGCGGCGCTCTGGCCCGGGCCCCGCCTGGCGCTGGCCGCCGAGGGGCGGGGAGCCGGCGGCGCGGCCCGGCCCGCCCGCGTTGTCAGGGCGCCGGCCGACGGGGCGGGGCTTGCAGCGCTCCGGCATCCCGCTCCTCGGTGCGGCTCGCCGTGCCCGCAGCCCCTACGACCATTGTTCCGCCGAGGCCGTGGTGGCCCTTGGAGGGGAGGGCCTGCGAACGTCCCTCTTGGAGCACGTCTCCCGCTCGGGCCGCGAGATGCGCGCGGAGCTGAGGGCGCCCCGAGGGCCTCGGCGGGGCGGCGAGGTCACGGCGGGCTCGGAGGGGGGCCTGTCGGCCAGGAGGGAACCGAGCGGTGGCTGTGCGTCCCGCGCCCAGGCCCGCGGCTGTACGGAAAGTCGGATGCTTTGGGGCCGCCGCCCCTCCTGGGAGGCCGGCCACCCGGGCTTCCAGGTCGGGGCGACGCCATGGCGCGCAGCCTCGCGGCGTCGGCGCCCCCTGACGGCCCGCGTGGCGCCTGCCAGTGTCGTCTTCCCCGGCCGCCTGCCCTGCGCCGAGCCAGTGGTCGTTGGTTTGAGAACTGACCATTAGGGTCCCCCTGGGAGCGGGTCCGACGGTGAGGGAGTATGTGGCTGGCCGTCACTCAACGGCCCCCCCCCCGCCCCTCAAGCTCTTTTCAGCTTCCTGGTTTTCAGGCTGAGGTGAGAACAGGGATCAAGGGATTGGGGGTGGACTTTGAGATCCGTCACCGGTGTTCATACAATAAAACATAAATAACGTGCGACCGACGAAGACCTACAAGCTCCATGGCTCATGGACAGAAACTGCCTACAACCTGTTAGGGTTACAAGCAGGCACTGACTGGCCTAAAGGTGTGTGTGAGGTGCCGAAGAACAAAGGAGAAACAGGCCTTGGGAGCAGCCAGAATCTACGCATCAAAAGTCCTGGGAGGCCCCTCGCCTTGTGAGTGGGTCCCAGCCTGCCTCTGGGGACTCCTCTTGGGGATCTTCTCAGCCCTGTGCCAAGGGAGAGCTATTTGGGCCAGTAACACTGTGCTGATAAACCTGGGGAGGAATTTCGCACATTCTGCGCCCAGGGATCTCCCAGAGGAGAGAGAGAGAGGGAGAAGCAGGCATTGTGGGCGCACAGTCTAAAGACCAGCCTGAATGCTCTGTTGTTCGCGGAGGTGCCCGCCTGGCCGGCCAGGCATACTTATTTTCTTACTCTTGGTTGGGTTGCCGCCTGCTGCCCATCTCTGGCTCACCCTTGAAATTCTTTTCTTAGGAGAAGATGAGGACCTACTGCTGTTCTCAGCTTTCTTGGGTAACAAGCTTGCTTTGTGCCAAGGAGTGGCAGCTAGGGGAACTGAAGGAAGCAAGTGTGGGAGAAGGAGGCCCATTCCTGCCACTGAGGGTGTTTGTGTCCACTGGCTTCTGGAAGCCGAGCTCTGGGTCCATCTGCTTCTGGGAAAGCTGTGAGCTCGGGGTGAGTGAGATGCAAGGTCACACACTTCCTTTGAGACCTGGGAACAGAACTGGGATATTTTTTCCCAAGCTGAATGGATTTTTTAAATACATATATATTTAGAATGGGATATTTTTGTAACATGGAGGTCCCCACACAAATCACACATGGTTCTCAGACTCTAGTTTTGATTTTTAAAAAGATTTGTTTGTTTATTTGAAAGGCAAAGTTATAGAGTGAGGAAGAGCTGGAGAGAGATCTTCATCTACTAGTTCAATTCCCAAATGATTGCAATGGCCGGAGCTGGGCCAGTCCAAAGCCAGGAGCCAGGAGCTCCTTCCGTGTCTTCCCTGTGCGTGCAGGGGCTCAAGGACTTGTGCCATCCCCTACTTCTTTCCCAGATGCATTAGTGGGGAGTGGAGGGAGACTGGAATCATATGAAATGCTGGTGTAGGTGGTGGCTTTACACACTATGCCACAGTGCCCACTCAGACTCTAGTTTTGTTTCATTTTTTAAAAAGCAATTTCTTTGGAATTAAAAAAACCTTTTACTTTCTTTATTTTTTTTAAGATTTATTTATTTTTACTATAAAGTCAGATAAACATAGAGGAGGAGAGATAGGAAGATCTTCCATCCGATGATTCATTCCCCAAGTGACCGCAATGGCCAATGCTGTGCCAATCTGAAGCCAGAAACCAGGAACCTCTTCTGGGTCTCCCACGTGGGTGCAGTGTCCCAAAGCTTTGGGCCGTCCTCAACTGCTTTCCCAGGACACAGGCAGGGAGCTGGATGGGAAGCAGGGAGCTGCCGGGATTAGACCAGTGCCCATGTGGGATCCTGGTGCGTTCAAGGCGAGGACTTTAGCTGCTAGGCCACGCCGCTGGGCCCAAAACCCTTTATTTTCTTTGAAAGGCAGACAAGGACACAGATTTTTCCATTCACTGGTTTATTCATCAAATCCCTGACACAGCTAGGGCTATGCCAAGCGGAAGCCAAGAGTTTGGAACCCAATCCTGTTGAGCCATGTGGCTGACAGGGACTGAAGTACTTGAGGTATTGCCTGCTGCCTCCTAGTGATACAAGTGGGCAGATGGGCAGTGAGGGGCAGGGAGCTGAGGAATGCCAACTGCCAAGCTGCATACACCACGCCAGCCCCATCACCTTCTATGCCAGTGATGAGCAGCTCAGCACACTCACTCTTCCTGCTGCCGCAGAAACCATGCCCATTCTGTGGATCAAGTGTGCTATGGCCCCACCCCAACCCTGTCTCCTTTGAGGCTTCAATCAGACCCTGCCCTGAGCACCACCTATTATGCAGTCTATAAAAGGAAAGCTTTCGTGGAGATAATTCTGACTGCTGAGGTTGGCTACACACACTTTTGGGTGTGTGCTGTTGGCTTTTAGTAAAGCCTGTTGTTCTGCTAACCTCTGTCTCCATCTCCCAGTTGCATGCCTGTATGTAGGAAGACAGGAACGTGGATTGACTCTAGCCAGTGGTCTCTCCTTGTCCAGCCCGGAAACCTGATCACCTCAGCATAATGTGAGGGTCCTGACCACCACAACACCAGGCAGTGCACAGTATAGGAAGCTGGGTAGGAAGTGGAGGAGCGGGGGCTTGAACCGGACACCTGCTGAGATGCAGGCATCGTGACCAGACACCTGCTCTTTTTGATTGTTGCAGGGATGAGGAATGTCCAGTCTGTGGGTCATGTGAAGTACAGGAAAAAATTTAATCTGGATGTACCAAGGCATCTTCAGCAGGGTTGTGAAGTTCAATACACCCGTTACAGGCTAATTTTTGAGTTGGTAATTCTGTATGGCCCACAAATGATGTTATAAATATCCAAATTGTCCTTGACACAGAAAATGTTCTCTAGCCAAGCAAAGGGACAATTTCAGCTTCTTATGTTCTTATCAGAACAGAGAAAGTATAATTTATTAGCCTTTTTTTGGCTTTACCTTTGGAGAGGACAAAGTCTAAGAAATGACATATTTATAGGATGAGGGACAGGAAAAGAGGAGCATATTCAACAAATACTATGAAAACCAGCTCTAGGGTTGGAGTTTTGATAATCAAGTTATTTGCTAGTGGGGGGCTGTTGCAGTGGGTTAAGCTGCCACCCACACACTGGCATACCCTATGAGTGCAGATTTCAGTCCCAGCTTCTCCACTCCTGATCCAGTTCCCTGCTAATTGCTATGTAGGCTCCTTCCCACACTTCACATTTAACAATGCCCGCATCCTCAAGAACAAAGCAGTCAACATCGTCAGCGAAATGAAAGCATATTCTAGGCCAAGTTTGTTGATTTCTGTTGCTGGCTGAATGTTTGTCCCGTTCCCTCTCATTCGTGTGGAAGTCCTAGCTCCCAATGTAATGGTGAGTAGGAGGTTAGGTCTTTTGGAGGTAATTACGTGAGTAGAGTGGGACCTGCGTGATGGATGAGTGCTCTTATAAGAAGAGAACTGGTTCAAGACATTATAGGAATGTCGGTGTAAAACAGAATCGTCTGATAAATGCTTCTGAGGTTTTTTTTTTTTTTAAAGATTCATCTATTTCTTACTTACTTGAAATGCAGAGTTACAGAGAGAAGAGACAGAAGAGAGATCTTCCATCTGTTGATTCACTCCCCAAATGGCAGCAACAGCCAGAGCTGAGCTGATCCAAAACTGGGAGCCAGGAACTCCCACCAGGTCTTCCACGTGGGTCCAGGTACCCAAGGACTTTGACCATCCTCTCCTGCTTTCCAAGACTCTAAGCAGGGAGCTGGATGGGAACTGGAGCGGCTATGACATGAACCAGCATCAGTATGGGATACCAGCATTACAGGTGGAAACTTAACTTTCTGTGCCACAGGTGGATAGCCAAAAATCCTTGATAAAATGTATTTGCCTAGGGGAGATCAGCATCCACTTTTCATAGTATTTCCTATTACTTTGTTTTAAATAGCAGTTTGGAACACTTAAGGCTCATTACAATAATTTTCATCCATGGTTTAATTTTATCTTAATGATTACTAATGCTTTTTTTTTTTTTACTGAGGTTGCTGTGAATCCAAATTTATGATTCATATCACTGATTATTGTTGAGAAGGCAGGAGACTTTGCAGGAAACAGGAACCCCAATGTGGAAAGAAGGGCAGAGTCCCTGGAGGAGATGGTGAGGGCAGCTCAGGAGTGGAGTTGATGCCCCCAGGGAAGGCAGCGGATCTTCTTGGAGGCTCCTGAGGCCTCCTCTGGAAGATGAAGATGGGAAGATCTCACAAATCTGCATGTCTACTCTAAAAGCAAATCACACTACTGTAGGAGTGCAAGTTGGATTTCCTTAGAAACAAGTTTTAACAGTAAAGAGAACAGGGCACGGCATAGTAGCCTAGTGGCTCAAGTGTTTGTCTTGCATGCATCGGGATCCCATTTGGGTGCTGTTCGTGTCCCGGCTGCTCTACCTTCCTGCTAGTTCCCTGCTTGTGGCCTGGGAAAGCAGTGAAGGATGGCCCAAAGTCTTGGGACCCTGCACCTGCATGGGAGACCTGGAGGAAGTTCCTGGCTCCTGGCTTTGGA